TAAGAGCTAGCAACTGCAATCTCCTTTTCTGCAATGTGACCTCGCCCGTTTGAGTGACGCTCAGGTGGAAGTTCAAATATTAGAGAACTCTGTCCCCATGCAGAGAGGCACAAAATTGTATCGGGCGAATGACTCTGTTTTAAAATAGTAAAGATGATGGTTTTATTTATTTTCATTAACCGTTGACCCAGTGTCTAGGTATAAATGTGAAACAATCAGTGACAAATCCATATGCTGTGAGGTCACTGTAGCCCTGGCTGACTTCGAACTAAGGATGTTCAGGGCACTCTGTGGTGGTACACGGCAGCCCACTCTCCTTCCTTGCCCCCTCCCACACACCCCATTATGTTCCTGTCCTTCATCTCAAGAGACACAAAAGCTCAGTTCAGTGATGAATCTGCTACTGGAGTGTACAAGATACATCTCTAATAAGATGGCATTCAAGAGACAGCTGACAGAAAAAAGTGTGAATAAAGAAATGGCTAGAAAATACAAAGTGCACAGAGGTCTTCTGAGGAAAACTAAAGTCTTGAAAAAGAAGGAAAGAAAGTGGTTCTACTAGGTAACTGTTACCTTTTTGTTTGTTTCAGGCTTTGAACCAGAAACATACTGGGACCGCATGCATCTCTTCCAGGAAGCGATAGCATACAGGTATGTACAGAGCAGAATGGCTGGAAGGTTCATACCTTCCTGGATGACGTCAGATGAAAACCTGTGCTGAACAGTCACTCCTGAGTCGTGTGGGCTCTGTGCATCCACCTCTCTGAAGTCTGCTTGTGGATTATTAGACTAAAACATCCCTAGAATGCCTGCCTGGAGCTGGTTCTGTGGGTGCAAGGGGCAGGCAGATAGTGTTTCAGCCTGTCACTCGTTAGCAAATCATACTCTCCTCCTAGGGAGGGCGTTGGCTTTGGAAGGTGCCCTGTAATTCTAAGTTAGAAGCAGATAGGTTTCCTTCTGAGAAGGGACAGTTATTTCCTTTGTGTGTTCTTAACACAGTCTTGAACTGGATGACAACCAAAATTGACAGTAGGCGGGAGACTGGGATGTGAGCTGTGCCTAGGAGCTTGGGCCCAGTTTAAGAAGGAATTGTGGGAAACTTTGAATGCTGTCTAGCCTTACCCCTTTGTCTGCTTGAGCTGCCAGTTTGTTTCATGGTGTTGCTGCCAAGGTCATTTTCATGTTAGAGAGACTGCCTTTTGTAATGGACTTTAGCTTGAAGATAAGCTTTCATTAGCGTAGAAAGCAGAAGAGGAACAAGTATTCTCCAAACAGCAAAGAACTGTCAGGAGAGCTGCGTGAAGTTCTGCATGGAATCTTGCCTATCACAGAAAAAGCACGATAGTTACAGCTTGAAACGTACCCAAGGAACGTCTGTCTTGATGATCGCTCTTCCCTCGTGTGTGCAGCTGCCGCATTTTGTCAGAGATTGCTCAGTGCCCTCCCAAACAGAGCTACTGGTGCTCTTGGTTTCCGGCATGAGTTAGGACGGAGATCAGTGTGGAGTTACAAGCTTTCACACTGTGCCTAGCAGGGGTGGAGAATATTTAGAGAAGCTCAACTCTCTTCATCCTTTTTCACTTTGCCTTCAGGACGTAAGAAAAGGGAGCCTTTGTGATAGTGGAAGGTTTTCCCTGGTTGCCCTGCCTTGGGCTGAAGGAATCCTAGCTGGAGTGGCTCTTTTGTTTTGTTTTGTTTTGTTTTAATTCCCTGGTGTTTGTTTCTCCAGGTTCGGATTTGTGCAAGATAAATACTCGGCCTCTGCATTCAACTTCCCAGCTGAGAACAAGCCCCAGTACATCCATGTCACAGGTGAGCAATATTTGGCAGGCACTGGGATAAAGAGGAGGCTAAGAACCATTTTACGCAGTTTGTGGTTTGTGCCAGTGGTGTTGGTCCCCATTATGTCCCTAGTCAGATGACGAGTAGCTGTATTAGCCACCACAAACAAGAGAACTGTGGAGGCAGCATGAAAAGCACAAAGTGTTGCTGCTCATCAACAGCATTGGTTTGAAATCTTGCTTTATAGTGTCTCTGAAACTTTTCTTTCCAGGAAATGGAGAAATAAAAAAAAAAACATAAGGCAGAGCTTATTCCAAGTACAGTGTAAATAAATGTGTATCTAGAAGCTAGAAGGAGGGAAAGGTGTTGGGACAAGTCAGTGCTCTGTTCTCATGCTGAAGTCAGTTGTAGATGCAGCTCTATCCATACACACTGTGTGGGAGGCAGATAGAGCATTTAGGATTGATTTGCTCTCATTATTATCTCATTACATCTTTGTAAATGTTGGTGATCTATCAGCACTTCTAACTAAGCTCCATGCTTGGCATATTACAGTAATGTAACGTAGTATGATCAGAGGGGTTGCTGAGACATGAGACAATGACGGGAAGAGAGCTTTTGGAAAATTGCAGAGGAGAATGGAAATTGATGTAAAGAGATGGATCCGAGCCTACAGCTTTGCTTCATTCCCTTCTGCCAAGAGAAAGGCAGGACTAAGTGTGCTCTCTCCCAGTGTTGCAATTTGCAGGAAGAAGTAGCATGTAAAAGCAGAGGGAGAACCATGTCCCATTTTATCTTGCTGAAAGGCAATTAAATGAAACTCAGTCCGGTTTCTTTTTTGGAGTTTAATGAGTCGGCCACCAGTTGTAGGGACTTAGGTCTGCCTAAGACTTGAAGTTCTCTCTGTTTCCTCCAGGGACAGTATTTTTGCAGCTGCCATATTCCAAGCGGAAATTTTCTTGCGGGCAGCAGCGACGCCGGCGCAACTCCACCAGCTCCACCAACCAGAACATGTTTTGTGAAGAGCGCATTGGCTACAACTGGGCCTACAACACCATGCTGACGAAAACGTGGCGGTCCAGTGCCACTGGGGACGAGAAGTTTGCTGATCGGCTGCTGAAAGACTTTACGGACTTTTGCTGGAACAAAGATAGCCGGCTGGTTTTGTTCTGGACTGATTGTCTAGATAAGATGCATGCTAGCGCTCCGTGAAGTAGGGTTGTATCTCTTAAGGAGACAGCGAGAAGCTTTACCTTGTGGCAAGGAAGCAGAGGTGAGGGATGACTGGAAAAGAGCCTCTCGGTTGGATTTGTCTTGAGGTTCCAAGAGGACCTAATCAATATTGCTGTTGATATTCAACAGAATTTGATTAAGCCCTTGGAAAAAGAATCTGAGCTCTTGGCTTGCCAATGTCTATCATCTGACCTCAGCTTGGTTTCACGTAGCTGCAGTCCTTGATTGCCAAAACTTCAGTTAGGGCAGAAGTAAAGGAGGGAGAGTGCAAATGGTTTTCAAGGGCAGTTATATTCAGTACAGAGTGTGATGGTAGCAGCTTACCGGCGTTGGAATTGATGGGTGCTGTTTGCATCTGATGTACCCGACAGCAGCCTGCTTCTTTCCCTTTCGAGGTATACCTGATTGTGTGAATATGTAAGATAAAATGTGAGAGAGACTTGTTAAATTTCATACATGTAAATAAGTAAAAATGCAGAAAATCAAGTGACCTGATGTTTTGTTGTGACTCCAGACAGCAATACAGAATCGGGGCGTAAAGGAGAAGAATTGCCAAAAGGAGATACTGCTGCTTATGTCCAGCATGATAATGAAATGCTCAGCGTGTAATGGTGGGGCTTTGTCCTTTAAGCACCCAGGACTTTTTGTCCCCAGCTCTGGCTCTAGACCAGTGTCGTGCAGCAGAAGCAAGAAGCCCGTTACTGTCCTGCAAGGCCAGCATCCAAGCCCAAGGAGAAATCAAGGGCAACTGAACATGAGATGCCGCCGGTTGGAGGAACAGGGGATCGTGAGCAGATTTTTAGGATATGTCTGCGTGCAGCTAAACGAAGATGCCTGTGCTCCAGTATGTAGGCTTTGTCTTTGCAGAGAGAGCTTGCGTAGGGCACCTGGACCTGGCATGAGCTCGTTAGCTGTGGGTGCTGGGCCGGCACCCGGAGGCACTGTGCGTGGGGGGGCTGTTTGCTGCTGCGAGATCGTGTCTGTTGCGATCTGTCCTCGCAGAGGGCCAACACATTCACCGTGGCATTCAGACCCGATTCAAGCAAAATCATCACTGCTTCAGCTTTATCCCCTGGACTGGACCCGGCTGGAGGAGCTGGCTGGAGCCGCGTGCCTCTGCTTGCGGTTCCTCGAAGCGTGTCAGAGCAATCGGTGCCCATCTGATCCCCGGTGACGCCTCGGAATCCGCTCCCTACCCT